CCATGTTGCAGAACAAGGCATTCTTGGTTGAGTGGCTAGCACACAACACGAAGCACGGACCCGACATCATTGCCTTTGCAGGAGTCGGTATAGCAGAATCCATGTTTGCTTATTGGGGAACCTGGGCATGATCCGCATGTCCACGAATTCTGATGCATGAGTTTTTCAGTTTTGCATATTTTCAATTCCTCAATTCCGTGATGCGCGTGTTTGCACTTGACCCATTTTGAATCTCAAGAAATATGTGTCTGCCTCCGCAGCCACTTTCGGTTTACAACCAATCCGACCTTTGCAATCTTGTATGCTCGATCACCTCGTTGACATGCCCATCCTCAACCTGATGTTTGGACGATCCGGCGATGCGGCACCTGTGCCAAAGCCGATGATCAAGAGGCGGGCGTCACCATTGAAGGAATCCCCTGCTCGTGATGAGGAAGATGAGACATCCGATTGCCCCATGGAGCAAGTCGCTGATGAGAATCCATCCGCCTCTCAACAACCCGAGAATGTCAACATGGAGCAGGTTGATTATGATCCAGATTCCGATGATGATGATTCAGATGAAGAAGGGCATCCTCTCGCAGGAAGGCCTTTGTCAAAGGCGATGCCACATCCGAAACTTGTTCCAAAGTCACCGCCACCGACATTGAGGCTTGTCTCCAAGGTCAAGCCAGCACCAAAGAACACCCTGGATGACGAGACGGAATCCGACAATCATCCTGGTGATCGACCTGCGCTTCCAAGGCGACCAGTGATGCGGCCTGTTCTCACATCCAACGATCGGTGGTTTGTAACATATGGATCGGATACGAACATCAGCCTCCAGAAGGAATCCGTGCACCCAGGACCTTTCGGAAACTCAAAATTCCTGAGTTTTGTGCACGAGTACTACAAGGAATGCTCAACCATCCTAGATGTCAATCCGGACTTCCACTTCGTTCCTGAGCACGAGAGACCACATGGAGTTAAGGTATTCTGGTTGAAGGCAAGATTCAACGATTACTGGCATCCAACACTCCAAGGTGAAGGACCTCATGCAGAGAAGCAATACATGGACTTCATCAAGAAGGTCTACAGCATCTGCTGCTACACCAATGCTCAATCCGAAGTTTACGGAACCGACATCATCCCGATGGTATGCCACAACGGCAACATTGATCTCGATAAGACCGTCCAGAATGTCGAACAGGTTTGCAAATACTTCCGCATGGATCCATCCAAGGCGAAACAGATCACAGATCTCATCCTCTGGCGAATTGAGAGAATGAGCAGATCGTTTTCCGGATGTCTTCAACATGATCCAAGGCATGGAATCCATAAGGAATGCAAACGGCAGGTGGAAATGGGTCCTGATGGATCCGTCGAGCTCTATGATGCATTGACCTGCATCACACATGCCAGGAACTTCACTGGAAATAAGCCAGGACTTCTCTCGATGGCTATGTTCCCGAGCTATGGAAAATCACGTTTCGAAATTGCGTTCGTATTTCCATCCGTGGGCGGGACATATAATGAGCGCAAGGCACGGGGAGAAATTGTTCCAAGGAATCGATGGATCGACAAGCTCAACACCAAATCCGCACAAAATGCACTCAGGCCCGACGGCAAGGAATTCTATGTTCATTCAGAGATGGAGTTCTATGTGAGATGCAACAGCGGACACACACACGACAAGTCGATATCCAATCCTTTGGACGACCCCTGTACTCTGAGCAGAAAGAGCCTCAGTACGACGAACCGGACTACGATCTACCAACGGAATCCATTCCGCCAAGTCCGCATCCGTCAAGATCCGAGGCGCCTCATGGAGATGAAAGCACAGCTCAGCCCAAGTACAGAATGCGAAGGCTGGCACCACCATCCGTTGAAGAAGAGAGAAAGATCAAGCCGTTCTCGAAGAAGCCCATCACATTCATGTTCCATGCAACCTATGGAAGTCAGCTCTACAGCATCATGGAGCACGGGCTCAAATCTGGGAAATCCCAGTCAAACCCTTCGGGGAGAATGCACGTCCACATGGCATGCATCGATGACGTCATCCTCGAAGACGATGAGTCAGAAGCCGCATTGACCCATGTGCCAACAGGAAGAGATGCACTGTTGATCCTTGCATTTCTCAAGGACCAAGACTATGGCATCCGCCTCTCCGAAGAGAGAACAGCGTTGACAAACAAAACCATCGAGGCAAGAAACATTGTTGCAGCAGTTGAACCTGATGGCAGCCTCCTGGCGAGCAACAAGTGGATCATGAAGCAGCATCTCGATCATGAAGATTACGAGATGTACGACACCAAGATCCGCGAATTCGCCGATGCCTTCTTCACGTATGTGAATTCCACCAAGCACAACAAGGAAAAAGATACTTCCTCAGAGACCAAGAAGAGACGGCATTCCACCGATCAGGGCTCCACTGAAGGAGAAATGATGGAACCCTCCGGGGAAAGATCCGTCAAGCCGAAGGTCATCGTGGAATATCACAATTCAGAGAACCTAGATGAGTTCATCCAAGAACTCAAGGGAATCTATCTCGAAACAGATATGAACAAAAAGGACGCAGAGGAAGAGCTCGCGGGGATCAAAGAAGAACTCAACCCGCTTCATGAACCAGTTCAACAAAGATCCAAAAAGAGCTCATCCCAATTTGACAGAGTGCGAGAGAGCCTCATTGGCACATGTCGATCCTGATGTCAATCTCGGTGAAGAAGAATTCTACTTCCCTCATCGAGGAGAATGTCCCACCGTTGACGAGTACAAGCAAGCTCAACCAGGATCCGGATATCCGATCAAGCTACCGCTTGGATTGAAGAAGCTCAGGTCACAAGATGACCCGAAAATCATCCGAGCCTATGCCGATATCCTGGGATCGCTGATGCAGCCGACTGACCGTCCTTCCGTGGACTATCTCAACATGCATGAGTTCACCTCATCCATAGCGATCAACATGCTTACCCTGAACCATGGAAACCCCACAAGGAATCCAAAGTTGGACAACAGGGAGGTGTACAACATGCCGATGAAGGATCGACCGATCGTCAAGATGATGATGCAGAACAGTGCACACATCTTATGCCTGAATGAAGCAGACGCATTCTTCAGTCCGAATGATGAGAAATCCAGGGAGCTCATCAAGACGTTCATCCGATACGGTTACGATCGCATGCTTTGTCCGCGGCGGACCCTCTGCACGAGTGGAACTTCTGGCAAGACACATTTCCACCAGGAGCCAGAATTGGGGAACCACATTCGGAATGTTCAGATGTTTCTTCGGAACTAAAGGAGATGGCACTGATCCCGAATACGAAATTCCGACCTCGGATTGCTTGGCAACAACACGAACATCCATGTTTACTGAACCCAAGAAGTACATTGGATCGAGAGTGCCAGCACGCACCATTGTCCAAGGACATGGCCGAGACAAGGAGATCGTCGTTCTCCACATCGAGCAGACTGATGAGTTTCGTGGGCATGATCCCGAAATCATCCGACAAGTCATTCCATGAGTATGACGGCCGCCACATAACGAGGGCAGATCTACCATTCGCAACCATTGGAGTCTTCCACATCCATCCTTCACTTAGCCATGGAGCAGCAAAGGAAGATCTTCAGAATGAAATCATGCCGCTCGTGACCTTGTACCGATGCGATGCGATCACCGGAGACGCCAACAAATCGGCGAACACCTACAGCAAACTCCAGCATGTCTACAATCCGACCAACGGTCTCGTGAACATCCTCATGAGAGCATATCAGAGACTGTGGAATGCAACGAAGAATTTGCCACTCGTGGACAGAATGGAGTATGCAATGGAGACTTCGTGCACCCTGAAATCCATTGTCCGTCATCACCTGCACATGAAATGCGGATCAGGTTTTGATCGAACATTCCCAGATGTGATGATGACTATCGTATTTGGATGGGGCAAAACGAACATCCAGCAGGATTTCCGGAAGGTCGAGATGAACGGTATGGATGATGAACAACTGGAATTCATGCGGAACCATCCAACCAAGGCCGTATTCGATTACCAGGTCTCATCCGCAGAGCGCTACAAGCACGTGAACAATGAAATGTTCATGAGTGGCTCGCAGGACTCCGACTCCCACAGTCCTCTCATGGTTTACATCCGCAGCAAGTCTGCATCCAGTAAACGCAGCTCTGAGAGATACCAGGATTACGTCAAGAAGAAGCAATCATCCTGGACCACGCAGGAGTACAAGGACTACAACAAGCAGTGGGGACATCAGAAGCAGTGGAAGGACTATAGCACTTCGACCTGGAATGATTATGGGGACCATGGCAGTCAATCCGACAGCAGCCGCCGATGGTATCGTCGATCCGACTGACCATGAAGATACGTTCCGCACCACGAACAATCCAGATGATTGATCCTCCTCGTCTACAAGACTATACCACACATGAGTGAGAGATCAATAGTTTCACAATTGTTCCGCGTGTACATAGCGTTGTACATCAACCTTTGATACAATTAGGTATCCAAAAGAAGCAGTACATAGTGTTTCCCATTTCGAAGGCCAAGACATTTCATCCAAGCAGAAAAAGGGTGAATCCGGCACTTTTAATCACATGGCTACGGCACACATCAAGGCTACGGTCAAAGGCCATGAAGCCAATAGTATTTCATACTTTGTGCTGGAGATCAAAAGAAATTTGTGTCTGTTTTGTGTTCTGTTTTTCAGACCATTGATCTCCCGCAACATTTGGCTCAAGGGCCCCTTTTGCATAATCACGACCATCCGAGCGTGAAGACAAAAGAGCCATTGCAGGCCGCTTACAGGATTATCCACAAGACAATCCACCAGGGACAGGACTCTCTCCGGAATAGATTCAGGGACCAACAACGACCTCAACTACCACAGGGTTCCAGTTCCCTCCGGGGATAGGCACCTGGGGCAGTGGGCCTCACCCCCCCCCCCCCACTTCACCAACCCCCCTAACCCCCAACTCCCTGCCCCGCCAAGACCCCCCTGGTCCGAGGAGCGTAAGCCCAGTGCAGCAGCTCGGGCACGTCATGGCCCTCGGCCAGCTGGAACTTGTATCGGACGCTGCCGTCCTCCACCTGACGCACGTCGCCGCGCCGCCGCGCCGTTGCCCGTGTGGTTTTCTTCCCGAGAAAATGGGTGGGGGGGGTTAAATAGGGGTCTTAAAAGGGGGGCTTGGTCACAAAGGGGCTTTTGCCGAGAAAATGGGTGCTGTGCATGAGTTTTTGTGTTTTGTATTTTTCATTTTTTTGGCCGGGGGGGTCTTGAACAGGGGTCTTAAACAGGGGGGCTTGGTCGCAAAGGGATTGCTTTTTTCTCCGAGAAAATGGGTGCTGCCATAAAAGCTGCAAGACTGCTGCCTTCGGAGGTCACGGCTTGCTAGCAGTTGGTGGCACAGCACCCGTGGTCAATTTGTGTTTTTACCTCTTCCTGAAAGCCTCACAGGTGGAAGCCTTCCGGCAAACTGGGGTTTGCTACTAGTGGAAACACCTTTTGGGCTTGTCGTTGGTGCCAAAAGAACAACTTCCTTTTTGACAGCCATCTGTTGTCGTGGAGGTTGCATGTAGAGTGGGGAGGGGTTAAGCTTGGGGCACGATGTCTCGCCCACCTTGGACGAAAGCCGTGCATTTTGTCCGGGCCTATGACTTCGCATGTATGATCTGACTTGCAACGTCAAAGCCGCTGTAAATGCATTTGAACCTGCTAGTTGTTTTCATACTCGCAAGCCTTGCCGTTCCCATATGTTCATGTTGAAACCTCAAGCCACGCCAGAGACATCGAATACCGTACTGCAAATTGTCTAACAAGTCAGGGTTTGACAAGCTCATAGCCGGCAATCCCAGGCCAGCTGCCCCATTCGCCCAAGCCTTCTCAATCTTGGGCGGGAGAGGGGGAGGTTGTCAATCAGACGTCGGACGGCATGAACCCAGCTAACAAAAAGCAACTGGTGTCTTGCAAAGAGGTCTATACTCGCCAACCCACCGGGCAAAACGCACAAACGACTTCGCAAACTGTTTCTAAACTGCCAGCCAGCCCATGGTTCAAGCTGCATTGACCCGGACATGTGTCCTAAAACCCATGGATGCCCGCTGGTGGCATGCACCAATCTGGTAAACCTTAGCTGATAGTTTTCGTTTGGTGGTTTGTTGGCTGCGCTAAGAGCGGGGGCCCACATACATGCTTGAGTATGTTTGGTTTCCCTAGCTGCCTTGGTTTGAAATGTTAGTGCCCTATTCTTCTCGCGGACCCTTCCCTGCGAATCCTGGCCCAACACGCAGAAGGATGGGTGAGAAAATCGGGGATCCACCCTTCAACCCTCGACAACAAAAGTGACACACCAATTGTCCGTTGTTCAAACTGGGTGGATCCCTTGTCCAAATCCGCAATCCGTAGTACGCCAAAACCTGGACAACCACCATCTGGTACCAGGATCAAGGTTAAAATCTCAACAACAGGTTCTCCTATACCATCCTAATGCTAACCCCGGATTAATAAACCCCTGGTTGATTAATAGGGGGGGTGTCCCCATTTTGTGGGGATTCAGACCACTTTTGGAGGGAACACCCTCCTAATAATGGGACGGGTTTATGGAAATCCTGGGTCAACATTGTACCCTTCCACCCGCAGCCCCACCAGAACTAAACCCCAGACCTCCAGGTCCCAGCCAACCAAAATGGCGCGCGCATGGGCGTCCAAGACCTCGGCGTCTTCTGGCGCCACCACGTGGGCTGCTCGCACCCAGCCCTCCAGCGGCTTGTTCAGCACCAAGCAGTAGGCGTCGCCTTGCGGCGAACCCAAGGAGTGCGACCGCTTACCAAGGGAAATAAAAATCAGCTGGTACAGAAACCCTTTGGGACCAAAATGGGACCAAAAGTGGACCAACGGGTTTTGAGTTTGAAGGTTGGTTTTGGACTAAGGGAGGAAGCTTAAACACTAGGGGGGTCATGTTGCAATGGGGGTTGACAATCTGTCACCATCATGATCAGGGGTCCCTTCGGAGAAATCAACCGGGACTCCTGGGTTCAAGTCCTCGGAATCCTGAAGTGCCCCAGCGTCTCTTTTTTTTGGCCTGGGTGATGCAGTACAATGGCAGCACAGTGTGTCCGTCGCAACGCGCGACCACTGGTGCCCACGTTTCTCTCACCTGAAAACTAGAGCATGTCCAAAGGCAGCCCCTTCAAGTCAGGTGAGTGACAAGGTGACAAGGAAGACAAACACATGCAATCGTTTGGCTGCTGCTCGCGCGCTCAGGTGGCGCACCGATTCACTTTGGTGCCACGCGCCACCGCCGACGGAGCACCCGGTGGCCAGCAGGTCAGGCGGCAGCTCGGCCACCTCTGCGCCGCCGCTGGCCAGGCCGCCTGCCAAGGCCGATGGCCGATGGCCATCTACAGCCAGCGCTGCGATGGACAGCCGTGCCTTGCGCTCCTCCTTGGGGTCCGGTGGCTTTGCGCCCGGCCTGGCCGCGTCCTCCAGCTTCTTGGCAGCAACGTAGTACAAGAACAGCGGGCGCACACCATGGACAGGATGCCTGCCGCAATGATGCCGGCCGTGATGAAGCGCACAGTGCTCACCGCGAAGCTGGCCTGGAAGACGTGCGACATCCCGGTGGCAATGAAGATGCCAGCCGTCACAGCGTGTCACAGGTCGCCGACAACCGAGGTCTGAAAGTTGGGGGATACGGCTGTCACAAAGAACATGGCGCCCGACACGATGCTCATTGCCCATCGTCATCATCACCATGTCCTCCTTCCCCATATCCGTCGCCGCCTCGTTCTGCCAGATGGCTGTCGCCATGATGGCAGCCGCGTACGCGCAGGAGGATGCCAGCCAGTACCAGTGCGGCAGCCGGGACAGGTCGGCAGCTGCCTGTGGCATTGCGGCAGGTACATGGAGGCTGTCGGGTCCTCGACCTTCCGCAGACGCGAGTCGATGGCGAGCGCTCGGCCAGCGAGGGCCAAGAAGCTCACCGCCCACACCACCGGCACAATGGTGGCAGCTATGGCAGCTGACATGCCGCTTCGGTTTCCACGACTGAACTGGGGCTTTTTGAGCGCTTCTCATGCACTGAAGTAGATGCATCCTACGTTCCGATTGCGCGGCAAGCAATGAAAGCACACACCCCTTTGCGCATCCATGTCTGGATAAGCTCCCTCAAAAACCGAGGCAATATGCACCATGCTGATGACCATAAATGCCACTTTACACGGGTATCCGTGGCCCCTCACGGCAGGTGTCAACCGCAAACCCGGAATTTCCGTCACCGTGCCCCCCCTGTCTCTCCCCAGGTCTACGCAGCCACGTGGCATGACAGGGCCAGCTCAAAGGTATCGTCCACAAAGCGGAGGTTCGCATCCAGCACGTAGATACGAATCTCCGCCGGCCGCCGGCTCAAGGGATGGTGGCCTTAGAAACCCCCCACCAGAAAACACCAAAATTGCTTTCTGCCGGAAGTGGAGAACCATTGAGATTGCCGAAAAGCCAGACCTTTTGTGAATTGCGCTTTGGAACCGCTGTTGCTTCACGATATCTTCATGATCCTGTAGGTCATGCAGGGTGTCCCTTTCAATGCGAGCCATGAACAACTTGATTTGCGCAAGCTGGAGTGGCCCATTCAGCAAATGGCAGAGGGGAACGAGAAGGTAAGATTTTCGAAATGGGGAGATCCCTCACTCGTAGTGGGAACCACTACCACCCGGCATAAGGATCAAGGATTGATTTGGATCAGCCAATATCGATCTACGGGGCTTGCCAGCGCGAATGAGCAAGGCGTCAAAAGCACCGCCGTGAGACATGGACCTTGAGGCACCGGCCAGTGCTCACCCGCCAAACTCCAGGCTTGACCTTCTGGAGCTTGTTGAAGGCAGTCACGTCTCCAAAGCTTCTTCGCTCCTCGCACGGCGAAAAGAGCCAGGCGAAAAGAGCTCAGCCGGGCGCTTAAGCCACTTGAGGCAGGCTCTCTATGAGGATCGTCATTTCAGCTGATGCTAACAATGAGCAACATGACTTTGAGCTGGCTAGCCCGCCGGGGGCGGCAGGACATCATATTGGACAAAACCACAAGCCAGGACCGCGGGCAATTTCGGGTGAATCGGCTCCAACAACTCTGTTGGATTGCTCAGCTACCTTTGGTGGCCAAAAAGCGAGAAACAAAGACTGCCCGGTAATTTCCCGTGTGCATCAAGCCAGTTTGCCACAGCCGAGTAAAATCCACACTCAAGTTTAATCACAGCACTTGTTGAGCATCCATGGCCTGTTTATTTAAGATAATCTTTGCTGCAGGCAAGATACTGTCGTGACCTTGGGGGTCGCCCCCGAGTAGCGCGCGGAAACGTAGGCCATGCCACCTTGGCAAAAACATATTTCTCGCATGACCACTTCCTTGAGACGAGCCTAGATTCCCATTTTTTTGTGAACAGCACCCCAGAAGGCAACTCGACCCTGGCAGATCCAGAGCTTATCATAGCTCGTTGCCCAGTCATGCAACTAGAAGGCTTGAGGTGCAAGCAATGCGAATGATGCCACGCCCTTGCCCCCAAATCCTGGAAATGGCCACTTGGCCACGCACATAACATGTTTAGCCCTGTTGCCATCCAAAGCAGCACAGCAAAGTTAAGCATGGCCTGCATCTTGGATGAAGTGTAACTTCTAGATGAAACTTGCACTCTGATGTTGCGTGCGGGCAGCCCTCTGAAATTCACATCGCGGCATTGAAGTTCGTTCCACGTTTCGTCTATATGCGCCGCATTTGCAAGCAACTTACCTCTTGATCCTTCCTAACGCTGATTGTTTTTCAGCTGCCATGTGAGCCCCAGGCCCACCGCTTATTTCCCTAGGACATGCGAAAATGGGCCCCTTGGTTCTTGTCGAACTTGGGAGGCTCTCCCCCCCCCAAAAAAAAGGAAAAGAAACCCAAGACTAACGGTAGACTACCAGCAAGCGTTCCACATTGTGACCAGGAATGGTGCGGGCTGACTATTCGCAGCGAGGCACTGTAAATGGGATACACCATGGACGCATTTGCCTGGTCATTCTTCACCTCCACATGGATGCCAAATATTCCTGGCGAATCACTGTGCATTCAAAGAAGTTGACGTCAGGATCCAGTCTAACTTTTCAGGCCTTTTTCGAAGGGAGGGGGGACTTGGGGAGAGGGCCCTGGATACGATGTACATATGCTTCACATCTCGCAACCATCTTGTCGGACTCCATGCCCGCCCAGCGGGCCGCTGCTCGAAGAAACAACGACCTGGCCTCCCTCGAAAATAGGTGTGTATAAGACGGGGGATCCCTACTATGGTTTTGCCTCCTTTGGCGTTCCTTGAAGGAAACAAAGGGTGGGACCCGTACGTTTTGCCTAAAATAAATGACGAACCCACATCAATGCTTCGTCTTTCCAAGCGATCTCAGAGATGCTCGCTTGTCAAAGGCACAAGGAACGAATCCTTTCCTCTGAAAAGGCTCCCATACTCTTTGAACCAACATACATCGGGGGGGAATTATATTTCACTGGGGCCTCTGGTTCGAGGGCAAGTTGCCTGTGTTTGAATATGTTAAGCATTGGTTGCGATTTCCGTGCAGGGTTGGTCAACAGCAGCAAAAAAACATGATGCAGGGTGCTGTCCTTAGGTAAGCAAATCCGACCAACTCGTTTTGCTTTTGCTTTGCTTCTCGGCAAGGAAAACATGGGGGGTCGCCCTAAATCAACTTTGCTGGGAGTTGGGGCGGTCAGCTGGGAATAACATTGTTCTGCAGTAAGAGAACCTTACTTTTCGAACAAGACAATGCTATGTCCACCAAACATGGCCAACCATGTCCAAGACCAAACCCAGCGCTCTACGATTCAACCCTCCCGAATTTCCCTAGCCTAGGCCTTGTCAAGGCGGTTGCCCTGGGGTTGCCGTGTTGGGGTGCCTATTGCCACACGGACTCACGGAGCTCCTTCGCTCACGAGCTGGAAGTCGTGTTGACCTGGCCAGGCCCAGCGTGCAGGCTGAAAGTGCAAACATCCTACAATCTTAGGATCTTTCATGCGCATTTTGCATGTTCCAATCCAGAAAACACACACACACACACACATCACGCAAATGGGCTTTGTTTTTCGGGGGGTGTGAGTCAGGCTCCACCTCACCCCGGCACTGAAAGAAAACTATGACGATCCCGTCTTTGGAGCTCAAGACTGGCCTAAATGGACGGGTCCTGACGGGTGTCACCGTCCTTGGGGCTTGGGGCTGTTTGCTATGGCAATTGGAAGTCGCTGGTCTTTGAATTCGGGCATCTAAATAGAGACACCCCCCACAACAACGCTGGGTTTTCCTGTTGGCTTCCCAAGCCAGCCTTTCAAAAGGAAAGTGCTCCAAAAACCCCAAAAAAAAACACAGAAGTGCACTGAGCAGCGCGCGCGAAGCTTCGGGGATTTTGTTCTCAGCTTTCAAAAGCTGCGCCGACGCATCACGCCACGGGGGGGCCTCCAAGCTCCACCGCCCCCAGGGCGAATTCCCCCACGAAGGGGGTGCGGTACAACTCCAGGCGGCTGCCGTCCCTGTCCTTCAGCCGGCCGTCCTGCCGACCGCCGATCTAAAACAAAAACAGCCGCAGGTGAGACAAAGCAAGAACTAGCAAACCCAAACGAGCCAAAGGAATAGTTCAGTCTGACAATTCAAACAAATCATGGCATGTTCCCTTTTGTGACCAGTGAGAATGAATCCATTACTTCGCCTTCTCTGACTGCTATGCTCCCTCAGATTGATCCGAACATAATTCACATTGTAGAATTGGGCCGGGCAGGTGTTGAATCGAAATGGTGCCTTCTTGTTTCAAGGTTTTCTTCAAGGGAGCCACTGTTGTTCAGCGACCCTGGTAGGAAAAGAATTGGAACCCTTTCGAGTTCTTTGTTTTTAGCGGGATATCCACGTGAAACCTGGGTGAAGGGTTCACCTCCAGCCGCGACAAGTGGGCTTCCACATACCGATTGGTTTGTCAATACATTGACAGCAGCACGGCCCTTTTTCTCGCTTGCAAGTTGTGGGGTTCTAAGCACTAAGGATGTGTATAGGGGTCCTAACTTGTGTATAGGGGTCCTAGCTTGTGAATAGGGGCCCCAGCTTGTGTATTATAGGGGTCCTAACTTGTGGAGAGAAACAAGTGAGGTGCCACAAAAAATGGTGTGCTCTTGCGCGTGCTGTTGCGGGTGTTGATCCAGCTACGTGGGCCCATCCCTTGTCCCAACCCGCTTGGCACGGGGCAACTCAGTCCTGGTACCACATCGTTGGCTCGGGATTGTGAGATGCCTTCAGCCTCAGCAGGTAGCTGACAGAAAAGCGCTTGTGACCTAGCTGAAAGGGCGACCGTTCCAAACCTGCACAAGGCCCGGGCTCCTAGCAGCCTCACCCAGTGACGTGTCGTGAGTTGGGACTGGGATGTCGAAACCAAAGATCCCGTTTATGTGGAGTGGTCCAAAAGAAAACCCTGTCACCCAGTGTTGGAGAGTTGCAACAGGAACATCCGAGAACAAAAGGTGAACACCTCAGAATCTTGGCTATGCCGACTCGGCGCTCACGGCTGCTTCCCAGCTTGAGCACATAAGGCATGGGATAGATTGCGTGCACAGCTCCGTTGCCAGCCTGGAACGTCTTAGCAATGCACCCCCTTCATAAGCACCCCACCCATGAGCCAAACAAAAACCACGCTGCGATACCAGCTGAGAGCTTCACTCCTTGCTGGCGAACATTGTGTAGGCAAACAAGTTCATAAGTACGGCCACGAGAATGGACTCAATGAGTCTCTTCCCTGCTAATTCATCCCAAATCTGCAAATGCCACGACTTGGGCTTGCAAGCGCCGCCCGGGGCGACCCGCCAGTCCGTCATCCCAAAATGGAAGAAACACCCGAGACCCTACTGCAAGCTTGGCCATAGTGGAAGCCCACCGAAGTGAGGCTTGGGGCCTCCGTGACTCATTATCTCGTGTCCAGCACAGCCCCGAAAACACATCAACATGCGCAAACATAAGCCACAGCAACATGTGAGCCGCGTGCGAAAGATACACCAACCTGGTAGTATTTCCATGGTTCAACAAAATCTGCTCGTGTTTCAGCATGTTTTCGGAACTTGGGCATTGCCTCAAAATGGCATCAGCCAGCCCTTCAACGTTTAGACGGGCAACCTCAGAACCCCTAGACCCTGCAACGCCATGGAAGCACAAAGTCCTTGGTGCGGGGCCACTCGTTGCAGCCACGGCGTCCCGATAACTTTTGACGAGGCACCACCGCATCTGAAATGATCCTGCGAACTGCGAAGTATAGATGCACGTTTGGTAAAATAGATTGGTTTCCCTGGGAAATGGAATAAAATCAATCTAAACCAGTGCCATCTATTCCTACCAAACTAACCTTCGATGGACCTGTGGTTCAAAATCGCCCACCCAAAGATTTAATGGCCCACCATCACTTACCACAGCGCTTGCCAAATGTGACTCGTCTTTTGCTGCAGGCATCATTGCGATTGAACCCCGTGTGGCAGCTGGGAACCAGACACCCATGGAAACCGGCACACTGATAAAGACAAAGATACCGTTTGCTGAAATGGACGCCTTGCTCCGCCAAGGGACAGCGATATGCAAGTGTAGGAGCGCCTCATGAACAACGAGCAAGAAAATATGCCTTCACTGCAATATAATAGGAGTGAACATACATGTTGAGATCGTGAGTTTTCCGAAAGCCAAATCAAAAGCACAACTCAACCACACCTCCGGATCCTGGAATTCATCTCAATGAGGTCCGCAGTTCTTGAGGCGTTCTTGTATTTTTCGTGGTTTCGTTCCATGTGCCGAAGAGGAATGAATCCTTGTGCAAGCGAATAAAAATAAATGGTAATGCAGATGTAGATTTATCGGATGATTGCTTACACAGTCCTCAACGCCTCAACACATGAACTGGAAACGCACGTCCGGGCCATCCTCAAAAACAGAAGCCTCCGTGCCCCTTCACAATAACCCTGGCCCCTCACCCCCGGCCGTCCCCCACCCCCCACCCGCCCCGAACCACACCAACCACGCTGCAGCTCGCCCAACCACCCCAAAGCTCAAGGCCAAGGCACCAGTTCGTCCAGAACTTGTTGGTGGCCTTGGGCCCCTTCACTGCCGTATGCTTCGGCTGGAGCCTCAAGGCCCACATCGCTTGGTGGCTAGGGCAACCAAGACTGTGTGCCCCCCCAAAAAATGTGCGGCGGTTTCAAGGGTTGGTTCAAGGGAAGCCACCGAGATCTTGCGAACCACTGTCATGGCTCAGAGGCCAGGCATCCGCGTGGAACATGGCGATGCACCGGGGGGAGAAAAAGAAAAACGCGGGTGGCATGACCTGCAAGAAACTCGAGGACTTTGTTAGCACGCATACGTTGCCGGGCAGCCTGCCACCTAAGTAGGAAGCCCGTGGTCCCGCCCCGAGGTGAACAAAAGAAGAAGAAAGTTTTGGCAGGGCACCAAACGAAACACGGGGAAACCCCTTCCCGAATGTTTCCCCCATATGAATCAACCCCCGTTTATGAAATAGGGGGGTGGGGTCCCAACCCAAAAGTGATGAATCCCCACTGGGGTTGATTAATATGGGGGCAATATTGCAGGTTAAGACCCTAAGACTGTTGAGAGCTTTGTGCTCCGCTCTGGAAGACAATGGAACAAAGCCACAAAGTGTGTTTACGAGTCAACTCCAGCTCCACTGCTGGTTGCGGGTGTTGGAAGAGTTGCGCACGGAATATGTTGCAGTCGCGAATGTGAACCCGAAGCCGATAACCTGAGCCTTGCGCACCCTACGCTCTGACACTGCCGCACGCCTCCCATGCTTCAAATGCAAACGACGATCACCCCGCGAGTACACACAAACAAGCAAACAAACCACTAACAAACCAACCAACCAAACAACCAAATAACCAACCAAACACACAAACAACCAAACAACCAAACAAGCAAGCAAACAAACACGCAAACACACAAACACACAAACACACGCGCACGCACACACACACACAGATACAGACACAGACACAGACACAGACACAGACACAGACACAGACACAGACGCAGACACAGACACACACAAACAAGCAAGCAAGCAAGCAAGCAAGCAAGCAAGCAAGCAAGCAAGCAAGCAAGCAAGCAAACAAACAAACAAACAAACAAACAAACAAACAACAAACAAACAAACACACACACACACACACAACACACACACACACACAACACACACACACAACACACACACACAAACAAACGCACACACACACACACACGACGCAAAACACACAACACCCACACGCGCAATTCATGCTCGAGCTAAAGCCATCACCCGAGCAGCTCAGTTGCAATAACACGCGACTCAGCCGAGTGGCACATGGCCACTGACATGCGGGAAAAGTCGCGAGTTTGGCGAATTCCGGCTGATGGCTTCCAACGAGGATGCACCTCGGAACTGTGCAAAGGGTGTTTGCGGCTGCTTCCATGCACTCAAGCCTCCTTGCCACGGCCACCGGATCGTGAAAATGACATGTCGACTCGTAAGTTTCGTAAGTCAAGACATGTCCATACAAAACCAGCATGAAACATGAAGCACTTTCATAAGCAAGCGGATGTACGAGGTACGGAATTCTGCCCTGGCCACCTGCTACCTGCCACAAAGTACCTTTCTCACACATGAGGTTGACAAGACCGAACTGCACGTGAGGCCTTGAGTGTTGTGTTCCACGCATGCGTGCGCGTTACCGTGAGAACCTGCACCTGAAGCAGCCTGGCAGCAACAGCCGGCTGAGGAGACAGCTCGGCCCACAAAGTAGGTTTCCTCCCTTCCCCCCCCTGGTGGCGTCCACTTCATGATACTTGACCGGCGCAGTCCCAAAGGAACGTCGAGGAAAAACAGACCGTCGTGGAAGAACCAAACTGAATGCACGCCCCATTGAAATCAGCCTTTTGTTGTCAAGCCTCATTTGCACCATGTGGATGCGGAAGGGCCCGTGCGATGCTTCGCAGAATCCTAGAGCCAGGTCGCAATATGCGACACAACCTAAGATCAAATTAATCTGGCGAAGCATACTAATCCCAGACATTCATGCCGCCTGTCTTGGGCCCCAGCTCGCGTGCAAGATGGCAAGGAAGACGGCCAATGTGTAGTCCAATACGCCTCACGTTACGTTAACGGGGCACTGGGATAGGGTTGATACTACTTGCTTCCGCAACAAACAACCAGCCAAAGGCGGTTCTCGCCTTGGAAGAAACACCTACGTCTCCATGTGGCGATTGGTTTCGTTGAAGGCAACGGTGCCAGGAGACCGCTCCACTTGGTCGGGGTCGCTCGCAGATACACTGGGAAGGCTAACAGCAGGTCTTTGTAGAGCTGTATCACAGATACACGGGCACTCTGTGCGAACTTGTAGGCGTTCCATTTTTTTCACACGCACACATTGCCGCGAAGAAGGGCAATCCGTGTAGCCATTCCCAAAACCTGGGCCTCCTCCATACCATCTCACCCACAAAAGACAAGACAGGAGAGACTGTGACGAGGTCGACTGGGCACGGTTTCGGGGACTGGCGGGAGACATGAAGACGCCAGCAATGTCGAAGGGGGTCCTCTAAACCGGGCAAGCCTTGCCAAGATCGCCACGCCTTTTTATAACGCTTTCATTTTCAGGAACGAGTCACACTCCCAACCGCGCCGGAACCTGCGAGTCACCCTCCCATTTCCTTCCCGCGAGTCTGCTGCGCAGCACTTGCAAACAAGGCTCCACCCATGGCCGAGTCAGCTCGCTGCCGGACACACTATTGCTCGCATGCCTCTGTGGAATTTGCTTTCTTGTGCTTGTGTCAAGAAAGGATTGACTTGAAAACAATTCAGTTGGTGTGGAGATTCAACCCATTCCGGGACCCTGAAGGGATTGGAGAATCGTGCGACCTTGTGGGGTTCTCTCCCATGCCGAGTCTGTCAAACATCTTGCCCCCTTTAGTCGGCATAGCCGCGCTTGTCGCGGGCTTGAGGCGGGCGCAAACGTGTCTGCACCACCCTGCACCAACCCACAGTCAGGGAAACAGCTGGTTGGCTTTTACATACATCAAGTGAAAGGAAAACACCTTCAGCACCATCCTTTGGAATTCGCAAGAGGTGGGTCAGAGCCGTCATAGCCCCTTGTTTACGGCTTTGAACGGCCCTCCCTCTTTGCTGCCATTTCAGCCCCGTTCAATTCAGTGGCAAAGGTCCCCTTCTGACTTCCTTTAAATAAGTAGAAATAATGGTTGCCTTTTAGCACCCTGCAAAAAGGGCATTTTAAGAAGGGTTGGGCAACACTTGTCTACACACTCAAAGGCTTAAGCCCAGGTTCCCTTGCAAAGCAACCACAACCAGTTTGCTTAAACACTAGCTGTTTAAACATGTGTCAAGGCTCTCCGGCCCAACCCGAGTCGTCTCACACTGCCAATGAACATAAATCCCAAAAAGACCCCGTTTCCGGACTGTCCTTCTGCGGGACCCCCGTTTTCATGTTGACCCCGGAGTGGTAACCCGCCCTATTTGAAGGGTGTTCCCTCCAAAAGTGGTTTGAATCCCAACTAACATTGTCCCGACCCCCCCCCCACTGTGGACGGACGAAATCCTGCACCTAAGAAACTCTGGAATGATGCTTCCCATTTAAAAACACAAAACACATGTTTCTTGGTGATGCGAACAGTTTTAGTCCATCCAACCCCTGTGTATCAATAGGGAGTGGGGGCCCCTCCAAAGTGGTCTGATTCCACTACCCATTTAATATCTTTCAGTTTCCAAAGCGGTGCTTCAACAAGGGCGGGGTTCGTTGAGGGTTGGCTTAACAGGCCCAGTTGCAAACCAAATCGCTGGGCTCCGAGTGCCTCCTCCGGGGCGCGCGAAAGGAGGTCCTCCTCCCAGGCCCGAAGCCTCAGCTCCGCTTTGGAACTGAAGCGGCGCCATTTCTTCCATTTGTTTTCTTTTCGCCCCCCTGGAAAAAACATATGTCCAGCAAAAGATCCCATTGAAAAAACAACAAGGAACATATGTCCAGTCATAGATCTCTTTCAAACAAGGGACATATGTCCAGTAATTGGTGAATGCGCCCCTTGGGAAAAAAAGAAAAAGATGGGGTTGGGTCAAACATGGGTACCCAAACGGCCCAAATTGAACTCTGGGGAATGGAACCAAGGACTAAAACCTGCCCATAGCCATATGTCCAGTAGTGATAGATCCCTTTAAAACCAACAAGGGAAAATCAACAGTATTCTTACGCAATGGAAGCAGTGGCTGGTGATCGAAATATGTGTGCCCAGTGGCCATTGGGCAAAATGGCTCGCCTGAATGTTTGTTGATCTGGGGCAGGGGGCCAGCCGGCAGGGGCAACATGATGCCAGCGAGCTGCTTGCAAGCGCGGCCGATCAAAAAATCGGAGCAAGCTGCTACCCACGTGGCCCCTGACAGGGGGTCCCAACAAACTGGGTGCTTCTGTTCGTGTTCGTGGGTGCTTCCGAACAATTCATGGTGCTTCTGTTCGTGGGAGGGAGGGTGCTTCCGAACAAACTGCTACCAAACTGAGCAATAAGAAGATGAAGGCCCGGTACAGTTTCAACATAGCTTTTGACAAAGTCTCACCTGGGACGCCACGCACGCGCACGCTGTAGGAACCCAACGTGACGGAAGCGAGAGTTACCCCGGAAGGATCCTCTCTAACTGGGCCCCTCAACCAGACCTTCATGAATCCTTTCTTGACCTTGTTGGCCCGCTCGGGCAAGCATATGCTTCCTTCACGACTGTCCCTCCCACACCATCGAACGTAAGGGCCGTTGACCTCTTCATTGGTCCCTTTTGAGAAAACAATCATTGAGGTCTCTGTGCCTGTCACGACTCAGACATCGGTGCTGGTACGTCCAAGGGACTCATCAATTTGGGTCACCCAACAAAGTCTTCAGTGTTCTGGCAAATGAGGCCAGGCTGCCATCCGCACACTCTTGTACTGCGAAACTCTGGAAAGATCGTTTGAACCATTTCGGGATGGGTCAGAATTAAATGTCTAACATACCGCAGATTTTAGAGCTTCTTCCTATTTATCAGAGTTCCTTCCATTTTGGGTACCGGCCATCGTTTGTGCCCTTTGATCGGTCACTCAGGGAGCGAGTTCCCATATTGGGTACCGATTTTGAGCCACAGCCCATGGTTTGTGGGAGCCGGGCATCTTCCGAATCCAAGTAGTCACCACATTGGAGGCTTCGTCCACCTTCTTCTGGGCCTGCGGATGCCACATCGAATCCAACTGGCGGCGGCTCCAGGAAAACAACATGTGGGTTGTGGTCAAACATGGGTGACCCAAACGGCCTAAATTGAACAAATTGGGGAATGGAACCAAGGACTAAAAGCTGCGGTCCCCTGCAGTAGTGATAGGTTCCCTTTGAAACCAAGAGGTACAGTACTCTAAACACAAAATATTGAGCAAATGGAAGCCTAGCATCATTGCAATCTCGAAATTGATCCCAGAGAACAGCATTGATGCCGCAAAGCAAAAGAGTCCTGGTTCCTTTTGAGAGGGATCCGCCTGAAAGAGGGGACGCACAAGAACGCTACCTCCAAAGTGGATTCCTGCGGATTTGGGGGAAAAGCTTGTGGTCCAGTGCTTCAAGGAGCTCTGCACAGTATCAACTTTATCATTCTTAGGTTGACTTCCTCTGTGTGCAATGTGCTTCGGCGTGCTTCGGCGTGCTTCGGCATGCTTCGGCATGCTTCGGCACTAGGCTGTCATCTGGTAGCACTCGAAAAGACAAAGCGTGGAACATATGCCCACATGCGATCAGCAGTTGGTGACCACCGAATCTCTTGCACAGCCCGCTGGTTGTGTGCTTTGGTGGAAAGCTGTGATAACACGGCAAAGGCTAGCCAGACACAAGCGCGCACGGCGGCATGTGGCACTGGATACTTCATTACTGGTGGTTCGCAAACTTGCTATGGTCATCAGCCAAAGGTGAATTGGGCGTCAAGGGGCGGTGGCATTTCTTGTTGGCGCAACAAAACTTCGAGGATTATATGCATGAAGCAGTTCTCTCTTTGGGCTGAAATGGTGGGTCCGCCCCCCCTCCGCCTTCGTCGTGGGAAATTAAGGGAGGTGGATCCCTCTCATGTTTTTGCAATTCTGCTCCAACAGAATGAATCGTGGCCATGTACCTAGGAAGAAGAATCTGACCCCCAGGCAAAGCACGGACCCATTCGGATGTGCCAATTTCTTGAGAGTATCTCCTGTTTGGTGCTTTTAAAAACGAAACCAAGAGGAACACCGCATTTTGTTGGGTTCCGGTTCCCTCAAAATGGGAACCCTGGGCTTTCTGGGCATTCCGTTTGCCACAGCGCTTCGCCTCCTCCGCCTCCTTGTCGCGCTGGTCCGGCTCCTTGCCGAGCAGCGCCGCCAGACGAGGACCTCAGATCCCCCAAGAAAAGTTTAACTTTTAGTGGCTTAAATGGAAACCACTAAAAGGCTAAAAAGCTAAGGGGATAACTGGGAGCCACCAAGTATATGGGTATGATTCTCATTAGGGACCCGAAATAGGATGTATGTCCCACATCTTTTCAGGGGTTCCAACCACAAAAAATCACAGCCATATGGGTCTGGGTCAAAAAGCGACTGCAGGTTTTAGTCCTTGGTTTCGCATTTGCCAGGGCTCCATTTTGGGTACCGATTTTTGACCCACAGCCGCAAACCCTCCCACCAATTAACAGCCGGAATCTAACCAGGAAATCGTGCCTTTAAAGGACAAAATTGTCCAAACCAGTACCCGCCCGAACGTCGGGTTCCATGTCAGGTGGGAGGGTATCTTCTTTCGGTGGGTTTAAGCACATCACCTATATATAGAGGACTTTTAAAGTGAGTTTACTTGAAGGGCGATGTTTAAAGAGGAAAGGGAGTCCTGCGTACATCCGAGCAAAGTGGTGCAATACAATCACAAGGAAGGAGGAATCCCCATGGCAAAGTCCGTCATCAAATGCCTAAATGGTTGCCCTCCCACCAGCTAACATGGAAGTGCACAGGCCCCTGTACAAAGACGACCTTCCTCTTGGAAAGGGCCTTTTTGCACAAACCCATGTTAGGTGGGAGGGTGACATTCATAGTTGGGCATCATGGGCACGGGCCACACCTTTTTGGCCAGACCCGGCCGATTCGCGCCTGAGACCTCCTCCTCCTCGGAGCCGCTCTCCGGCTCCGGCGCCTGCATCGGTCGAAATTTCGGAGTGCACCCAATATCCATCCCCTTCGATTGGGATGCTGGACCAACTATCCATCCTCCTTCTTGTAAGTAAGAATGGGATATTTGGCGCCCCGGCTAAAAGCCCAGATTGCAACCCCCACAAAAAGGAGCTCAACAAGAATCTAGGGGGCAGGCGGTGCAAGCCGCAGATACTCTGTTCTAGGCTACCTGCAATATACAGGCAATCAACTGCACATCCTTAAGTTGATCGCCAACAACCCTACAAATCTATTGCTATGCTCCTCCGAAAGATTACACGCTGGCAATCGTTACCCTAAAGCAAGGGCTCTGTGCAAAGCCCATTCTGTCGATATTCTAAATGTTTGCAGCCGTTTGGGATCTGAATGTCTCTACTTACTATCTACGCCACACATGTCTTTTGCCGTGGCACGTAGGAGGCGGGCTGTCGGGATCGTCTGGCTAAACACGACTGAACGTATCTTTCAGCAATGCAAAAGTCAGACCCGTGCCATGGAGCAAGGCATCTCGGCAATTCGGAAGCGCGA